GTCTTGCTTGAGTCTTTTGCAGATATTTTTCCAATTTTGCCAACACCATTCAACAACAACAACTTAATAGCTCGTGCCATGTCTTCACTGCCTTTCCACTCTACTCACTTCCCTAGTCCTTATATCACTGAAAGGATTTCTGAGAATGTATTTCCTCTCTGGCTTATTTATGCTAAATTTACATTAATTAACTTTTGATCAAATACTCTAGAAGTTTATATTTGTATAACCTAAAAAGTTGGAGGGGAAAAATATTGAGGATCATTGAGTCTTTGCATAGCTTTTATATCTTCCAATAATCTTGGAGTAATGATCTTGCAAAGAAACGATTAGGAAAAAGAGCTTTTCTGGATCATTGAATGATTGAATTCCCTCTCAAATAATAGTTGTGATTTATTACAGAGAGAAAATATCAGATACACAAAAAGACTGGAAATTCTTTGAGGTGAGTCATTTATGTTTTCAGATTTTTCTTTGATATAAGAGGCCAGGTGTAGAAATAGCTCATAGCTATTTGTCACTTGTTTTTACTTATTTTTGGTCAATGGCCTTTCTAAAACAATGATAACAAAGTATACGGATGCCAGACCTTAAATTTTTGGTGTTATTTTCCATCATTCTGTAGAGGTAAGTACATGTCTAATTGTCCATAGCTTCCTAGGAATATTGGGAGATTTTGGGCCATCTGTGTTAGAGTGTACTTAGCAGTCATATGCTGTAAGCAGCTAAGTTCTTGGCTACTAATTGGAAGGTTGCCAATTCATGAGCCTCAGAAGAAAGACAAGCTCTAAAAGGTCATAGCCATGCAAGGCCATGCAGAGTAGCGCAACACAGTACACATGGGGTGGCAGATGGTTTTGTGTTGTTGCTGTGTGCTGTTGAGTCAGACCAACTCATAGCTGACCCTCCAGTGGATTATCAGAGACTGTTAATAGCATGGGAAGAAACTGCCCATCTTTCTCTCTCAGGGCAGCTGGTGGATTCCAACCACCTGCCTTTGGGCTGTCAGCACAACTCCTTACCTACTGGTGTTATGTAGATAAGTGAAGACTTTGCTTATTATCATAGGTGTGGATTGTGATTTTTGTTTATTTTATGTCCTAGTCCTTTTTCACTTTCTGTACCTACATAGCCTGGGTTGTCTTCAGACGTCAATACTTCGTGGATATTGAGGAGGAAATAGGGAGACTCTTTCGTACTAATATGTTCAATATTGCTCGAAGGAAGCGTGAGGAAGAAGAATCAAAGGAAGAAAAGAAATGCATGACCTTTGCTCAATTTAGGTTTGATTTTTTCCCCTCTTTCTTAAACTCAAGGCTATTTCCAGGAAAGAGGGGTGATAAAACCTAAATATCCCTTTCCCCACCCACAGGAGAATGTTGGCAAAACGCCCAGCGATTAAAAAAGCCATTAATATGCGTTCACCAGTACTGTCAACTCTGCTGCCTTCTCCCAGAGAAAAAGCTCAGAATATCTTTGAGAAAAAATATCACCGTCTAGGAAGCAAACTTTCAGCTCAGATCCAAAAGGACATAGACATCCTGGATTCGATAGCCATGCCAGTGTAAGTGGTCCCAGGAGACAGTAGAAGAGACTGTGGAGCGGGGTCACCTCTCAGACCAGGCCAGGGAGGGTGAGGGTCAGACTTAGGCCTCTGTCGGAAAGTTGAATGACAATAGAAACTTTTGTCTTCTTACTTAGCCCCTGCTCCTCCCCATCTGTTTCATTTCCAGTTAACTCCAGGTGTACCCATTTAGACTAGAAAAATAAATGCTCAAAAGTCATTCTAGTTTCCAAATAGTTTTGCCCTGGAGGAATAAGTTACAGACTTTTTAAGGCCAAAATTTCCTGTTGCAAGAATTAGCTTTGGACAGTGCAGAAAGGCCCTGTATAAAATCTTGCCATGGACTCATAGATGGTGGCTCTTGGAAACAGACAAAGCTATTTCATATGCACAGCATAGATTTACATAAACATAAACACGCCACATTCTTTGACCTCATTGTTTCAGCTGTACCAATAATTCTTTCCACAGGGTTGGCATTGTGGGCGAACCTCGATGTCTATTCAACCCTCATACTCTCCAACCTCTATGAAGCTGAAGAAACTATCAAACTCTGGGAGACATTCTGTGGCAGAAAGGAGCATCATGGGGGGTCAAAGCATGGTGGCCTTCGCTTTACAAACATTGTCTTCTCAAATAACATTCTAAATAACCTAGTACATTCCAGTTCTGTAGTCAGCCACTGTATTTGAAGTAAACAACTCTGATTTAACACTATATGTAAGTCTAATATTATTATTATTATTTCCAATCATTTTGTTAAAAGTTCAACAATAGACTATTGAATACTTCCAGGAAAGTTTTATTCCAGAAAAGCTCATTTTCCTGTTTCTAATAGTTCCTATTGTTACTTTTTTATTCCTTGGCTTTTATGTGACTCATTTACTCAATGGGCTAGGAAAAAGATCAAAACATTCGGTTTATTCAGATTTCTAAGTTCATTTTGCCTTCTGAGAAAGCATCTTTAGTGGTATTAAAAAAATCCATAATCCAAAAGGCAAATGGAAACCTTTTCTAATAATAAATCTACTGCTATGGCTTAGTGCCTGGGTAGTATAAACAGTTAAACATAACCAACTGCTAACCAAAAGGTTGCATGTTTGAGTTCGCTCTGAGAAGTCTCAGAAGGAAGACTTGATGATGTGTTTCGAAAAATTAGCCACTGCAAACTCCATGGAGTACAGGTCCAGTCTGATGCGCAGGGAGTCAAAGTTGACTAGACAGCAACTAGCTTATTTTCTAATTGACAAACTAACATAAGCAGCTCTGGTGGCTTGATGGTAAGGAGTTACACTTCCAATCCAAGAGCAGGCGGTTTGAATCTACCAGCTGCCATATATATACACCTTTAAAAGCATTCAAAGAACATCAGTATATTAAACTTCTGTTGTTGTCAGGTGCTGTTGAGCCAACTATGACTTACAGCGACCGTGTAAACAGTGGATCTGTACCCTGTCCTATCCTGCGCCATCCACATCATCTCTAACTTGAACCCATTGTTAACAGTCACTGTGTCAATCCATCTTGTTGAGGGTCATCTTCTTTTTCTGTGACCCTAGACCTTTCCAAGAACCATGCCTTTTTCCAAGGACTGGCCCCTCCTGACAGCGTGTCCAGAATACATGAGATGAAGCTTCTGCATCCTTGCTTCTAAGGAGACCCTCATTGCAGTTCCTTCACGACATGTTTCTTTGTTCTTTTGGCAGTCTGTGGGACATGCAGTACTGTTCTCCAACACCACAACTCAGAACGAGATTCTCTCAGCCTTAGTCATTGTTCAGCTTTCAAATGCATGGAAATATTTGAAAAGACTGTGGCTTGAATCAGATACACTTTAGTCTTTAAGCAGATATCATTGCTCCTTAATGCCTTGTTTTTGTTGTTAGGTGCTGTCAAATTGCCTATGACTCATGGCGACTCTGTCTACAGCAGCTCTGAAGCCTACCATGTCCTGAGCCAGTCTTATTGACTCTGACACACCTAACTCCATTGCCCAAGTTATTGTATCAGTCCATCTCATCTGGGGTCTTCCTCTCCTGCGCTGTCCCTCTGCCCTTCTAAGCATGATGTAAGTCAATTAAAAGTCCTGAGGTAGGTGATGTAGGGAAAAAAGATTGTCAATCTGGAGGATATTTTCTGTGCGGTGTTGCCGTTGTTAAGTGCATTCAAGTTGAATATGACTCATAGCGACCCTAAGAACAACAGATCTGAATTTTGTCCTATCCTGTGCCGTCTCTATCGTCTCTGATATACTTGATCTCGTTGTGGCAGTCCGTCTCAGTGAGGAGGAGTCTTCCCTTTTCACCTTCTACCTTACAGCTCCTGTTATCACTAGCATGTTCACAGCTTGCTTTCTACTGCCTCCATCCTGAAGCAGTCTAGATAAGCTGTGCCAAGGATTTGGTATCTGAGACCACTTCCTATGCACCTTGGCCTCCTTCTTCATCTTAATGAAGAATTATTGACTTTTGAATTTTTTACTTCTTTTGCCAGTAACCCAGAGACATAAGCAGAGCAGAAAGAGAGAGAGGCCAAGATTTTCAGCCCTCATCCTGAGAGGTCAGGTCACACTCACACTGAGATCTGGAAAACTCTGGCAATCCAAGCCTAGGACCTTTGAGTCATCACCTCAATATCCATACAGGCCAGCATCTGAATGCTTGCGGTTTAAAATTCAAATGTTGAATACATTTGTTGTTGCCTTATCAGTACATGTTGTTGTCAGGTGCCATCATTGAGCAGCATACAACTCTTAGTGAGTCTGTGAACAACAGATCTGAATCCCATGCTGTTTTTATCATCCCCAATACTTGCTTGAGTCAATTTATACAGACATTGTATGACTCCATCTTGCCAAGGTTCTTCCTCTCTTTTGTTCACATTTCCAAGCATGATTCTCTCCAGGGCATAGGCTCTTCTAACATGGCCCAAATACATACTCCTCCAAAGAGGCTGCACTTTCTCTGAGACATTTATGTTTGTTCTTTGGCAGTCCATGGGGTAGTCAGTACTCTTCTCCAGCACCACAACTCAAAGGCATAGATTCTTCTTCTGTAATCCTTATTCATTACACAGTTTTCAGATGCATATCAGGTAATTGGAAGGGCCATGGCTTGAATCAGGCACACCTTAGTCTTTTTAAGTGACATCATTGCTCTTCAGGACTTTGTCCCTGACAGCAGACTTTTCCAATGTTACATGTCTCCTGATCTTCTGACTGCTGATAATAAGGGTGTTGATTGAGGAAAGCAAGATGAAGTAATTGACAATTTTAATCTTATCTCCATCTATCGTGATGTTGCCATCTGTCATGATGATTGGCACACTGGTGAGGATTTTTGTTTTCTTAGTGCTGAGATGTAATCCATACTAAAAGCTGTAGTCCTTGATCTTCCAATATCAGGTGGATCTTGGCAGAAAGCAGAGAGTACAAGAGAAATGTCTGTGTTTTATGGACTTTTCAAAGGCTTTTGACTATGTGGATCACAACAAATTGTGGCTAACTTATAGGAGAATGGGAATCCCAGAACACCTGACTGTGCTCATGCAAAATCAATACTTAGACCAGGAAGCACTTGTTCAGAACAAAGGGAAAACACTTCATGGTTCAAAATCAAGAAAGGGGTGAGTCAGGGATATGTCCTATCTCCATATTCAATCTATATGCAGAACAGGTCATTTGGGAAGCTGGACTTTGTGAGGAGAAATATGGCATCAGAATTAGAAGAAGACTCATCAGCAGTCTATGTGACACAGGCGATGCAACCTTGCTTGCTGAAACTGAGAAGGGCCTGAAGCATTTGCTGCAAAAGGTCAAGGACTGTAGCCTGCAATATGGACTGAAACTCAACATCAATTAAACAAAGATCCTCACCACTGAACCAGTTGGCAGCACCATGATAGATAGAAAAGAGATTGAAATTGTTAATAATTTCCATTTGCTTGGGTCCACAATCAACATTCTTGGTACCAGCAGTCAGATGAATCAAAAGATAAATTGCATTAGGAAAACCTGCTGTCAAGGAACTCTCCAGAATGCTGAAGAGCAGTAATGTCGGTCTAGAGACTAAGGTGTGCCTGATCCAGGCCATGGTCTTCTCAATTACTTGTTCTGCATTAGAATGCTGGACAATGACCAAGGATGACAGAACAATTGATGTCTTTAAGTTTGGTGCTGGAGAAGAATATTGAACATACCATAGACTATAAAAAAGGACAAACAGGTCTGTTCTGGAGAGAGTGAAACCAAGCTGCTCATGAGAGGCAAGGATTTTGAGACTCCCATCTTGCATACATTGGGCATATTGTCAGGAGGGACCAGTCCTTGGAGAAGAACATCATGCTTGGAAGGATAAAGGGACAGCACAGGAGAAGACGACCCTGGATGAGATAGATTGATAATGAGGGTAGTTGTGTCAGACAGCTTGGTTCAGGATAGGGCAGGGTTTCGAGCTATTGTGCATTGGGTAACTATGAGTCATGGTTGATTCAATGGTACATAACAATGATGATGACAACAACACTTGATTCTTACCCCATTTGAGAAAAAGTTGGTTTTGTTATAGTAATGAAACAGTATTAATATAAGTGATGTCTTAGGCCAATCTCTTTTGAGATATAAAAGAGCTCATAGAAAGAGAACCTTCTAGAACCAGCACCCAGAGTTTGGACTTCTAGCCTTCTAAACAGGGAGAAAGTAAATTTCTATTTGTTGTTACCCACTGATGATATTTCTGTTACAGCAGCATCAGAATAACTAAGACTAATAGTGGATTAATAACTAATCATTCACAAAACTAAAACATAAATGACTAATATGAAGGTATTCCTTTCCAGGAAGTAAATTAATGCATATGATTCTGCTTTTCACCTATAGAGTTGGCAGAGATTTGAAGAAAGGCAATGTTGGTAAGTGGGTGGGCGAGTCAGCATTTCCATATGCTAAGGGAGGAATACTCTGATGCGAACCTTCTGGAAGGCAATTGACCAAGAACATACTACTATCTCTACATCATGCTTGTCTGTGATAATGTCATCTATTTTAGACTTACTCAAGGATGTGAAACTCTGTCATTTGTCCTATGACTAGAGAGGTACTTCAGAAACTCTTTTGAGGATGATTATAATAATGATAAAATGTATCACTTATCATCTTGAACTTGCAAGAAGTCTTCAATCATTTATTAATAGCTGCGTCAGCGCTCATGGCCCTGTTGGGCCTATGAAAGACTCAAGGGGTGTCAGGTGAAGTTTCTGCCCTAAAAGAGCTGAAGTAGAGAGGTAGGAAGAAATTCAGTCATAGCAGGAGAGTTTTCAGATAATGTTAAATTGTGAAGCACAGACCAAGGTGACAGCAGTGAGCCAACTCAGCCATCAAAGCAGAAGCAGTAAGAATCCTGATTGGAGGCGTTCACATCTCCTTTCCATTGATCCCTCCTATTCTCCTACACAAGTGCTTTGATGAACACCCTTAACAAGCAGCATAGTTGGTTCATCTCAGTTTTGTCTCTCTTCCCATTCTGTTCACCCAAC